AGCTGAGCGAAAAGCTTGTTGATATGAAGAGCCTAATGCACCTTCGAAAAGGCGCATTTGAGGAGGCTGTCAGGAAAGCGTATGAAGCCATGGAGGATGCCGAAGTGAGGCGGAGTTGCCCATTAGCAGTGTGACAGTACAAGGAGCAGCAGCAACGAGCTTACTGGGGCGGCTGAATACCGCCTTATAGAATCTCAGCTCCATATTGTTTACACCGAGAGCAATCCAGGGGATTCAAAGCGGTCGTCTCCGCATCAGCTTTTGTTCGTTTTATAGGGCCAGAGACTCGAGCAACCAAATGTTTCTAAGCTGTACGCAAGCCTGGAGTCTCAAGCAATTGAGGAAACCATCCGTCAAACATCTGCAGCATTCATCCAACTTGCAGGTCTTAACCCAGGATCATTTGCTGCTGCTCTTGGTGTAGAGGAAACAATTGCCACAACACAAGCATTAAGGCACTTACAGGCAATGGAAGCAGCCACGCAGACGTTGAAGGAGCTAAAGACAACGCTTGATGGTAAAGATGCGAAGGCAGCTGAAGAGTTGTTGACGACCTGCGGCTCCCGCATAAAAGAGAGATTTGAAGTAAATATGTTGTGGCATATATTGTTTCCCCCTACTTCCCTCTCTTCTCCGAAAGCACTAAACGCCAGTGACGTTTGATGCCATGGCCAGGGCGCCTCGCCTCAGATTGAACGTGGTTAACTGGTGGTTGTGACTGGTGGGGCTTTGCAGGCGAGTGACTTTTGGTCTGTCAGCAACGATGTTCTCAAGACGCAGGTAAGAACATTAACTTAAAGACTATATGCCACTTAAAGTAAATGTTCTTACCTGCGCAATTCGTAGGACTATATGCCACTTACGAACTGCGATCGAGAACTGGAGGCTCAATTCTCGCTTGTGAGCAGGCAACGACGATTTCTGAGCACATGGAGATTTGCGGAATGCAGCGCTCGATTGATGAGAGCATTGGACGGCTCATAGACCAAAGAAACGCAGCATTTACCCAGCAAGTCCGCTCTTCACGCAATGCCCTGTCTCCGGCCGAAAAGCATATACTCCGAACCCAGAAGTCTATGCAAAGCTAGCACGTGCTTTGCGTTTTCAAAAACCCATTTTAAAACCCTTGATAGCATGGACAACCGGGTGCTCTCGTGAACTCCGCTGACAGCTGGCCTGAGTTGTGTAGCGTGTCTTTTTGTTCTGCACAGCAATGCTTCATCGATGCATCCTTGCTAAACAACTTAGCGGAATTCAGCAAAGCCGTAGCAGTCCTTCAGGAAGACATATATGGCCATTTCTGCAGTGCACGGAAACGATATGAAAAGGCACAATCTACAAAGAGGCTAACCATACTTCCTGCAATCCTGAAACAGTTCACCGAGACGGCTGAAAACGTCTACAAGGTCGGGTTGGACGAGCAATCGGCATCTTAATGAGCCATTCAATGCGTGCTTTTCCCCTACAAGCATTTCTTCATATGCCGTAACTGCAATGGTAGACGATATCAAATGATTCCAGCTGAAGTAAACTCAAGCGTTAAGAAATTGTAGTGCTCTACGTGTTTACTAGATGCGTTACCTTCTGCGCCTGAAATTTCTGTATTCAGGAATTTGTACAGCATCAAACGGATGCGGAAGCCCTGTTTCAGGAATCCATGAATTCGAAGACCAGCGAACTAAACGCATCACTCATGGAGCTAGTTTTACAGTGCAGAAGGGCTCTGGAAGAAACAAAGCGCGTGAGCCAGGCTAATGCAACGCTTGAGCGGCAGCTTGTTGAGTCAACGCGTTGATCTGTGTCTGTTAAAAGCTCTAACAAGAGGGACTAAATCCGTGTCCGCGTGTTTGACATTCCAGGAGATTGCCAATAAGGAGCAGCTCACCTGGTCCAAACGCGAAACCATGGAAACTGAAATCCTTACAGCTTACCATTCTGCGCTTTGCCAAACCAGGCAGGGTCAGCTAGCTTACAGGTAAGCAATATGCTGCGTCTGACAAGATGCCTTCGTAGTATTTATAGATGCACTAGCTGTTCTGTTAAAGTGTTCGATCAGCAATGTCGGTCCCCTTGGGGGTCAATATACTTCACGACGGGCACCACCCATACGATTGTACGCGACGACGGACATGGCAAAATACAGCACCATTTTCCATGTCTTTGCATCGCCAGGCACGAGCTAGAGAGAACATTGATTGCAGAACAAGCCAGAAACGAATATCTTATTCGTCTCTACGTGACGGACGAGTCAGCTGCTGACATATCAGAAGAATGCCGGGTTGCTACGGAACAAGTGGGTTTCACTTTGCAACACGCATGTGAAGATGTGAATCTCATTTGTACAAAGCATCTGGAGATGGCCCATCTGTTGAAGTTCAGCGCGCTTTTCTTTTGTACGCAGC